ACCTTCAACCCGTTAAACACAGTGAGGAAACACACCTCAGACTATTGAGTCTCACAGAGAAATCCCTGACTGTTGGTCTGCTAAAATCCTCGCGCTATCAATATAAAATAACATCCAATTAATAATTGGATCCCGACTCATACTAAGAGTCCAAACTAGGGTAAAAGACCTTTTTACCCTCTACCAAACTTGTCCCAAGGCTAAGGCCCAAGCCAACTATCCCAAAAGGCCCACATATGGCCCAATATTCCAAATTGGGCCCAAATCCCTTTGTGGGCCCTTCAACCAAAAGAGTCCAATAAAATAGAATCAGCCTAAAAATAGAATTTTGATGGCCCAACAAAGCTCTAGACTCCTAAGGTCCAACATGGGCTTAATACCAAAAAGCCCAAAATTCTGAAGCTCACTACTGAGTATGCAGGGTGTACTCAACTCGTACGCTTAGCATATACGCTCTGGGGCTAGTACGCGTAGCGTACCAACTTGTATGCCCAACGTACTCTACAGTTGGCCATCCCACAACATTAAGCACTTAATCCGCTTAACCCTTACTCCATACTCTTATATCTGACTTCCTTAAGGTGACTTATCACGTGAAGTTGGTAACTTTAGGTGAATGCATGGCTTAATGGGGCTCTAGAGCTCAAAAGAGCTTAACAAAGGGTCTTAACACATGCATGAGTCCATAAACACCTCAAAGCTTACATTTTTATGGACAAAAGGACCAAAAGAAACCTAGATCTACTATCAAACACCTGTGGAGTGAATCAAGAAGCTCATCAATCACTCTAAGGACTCAAAAAGCATAAAATAGCTACATAACTAGATCTAGCATCATATATTAAAAATATGTGATATTTTTACCTCAAAAGGCTAGCAAATGATAAGATAATCCCGGATCCTCAAGCTCCAAGCACAACTCCAAGTGGTCAACTTCTTCTTATCCTTCATAAAGCACCAACAAACACTCTTTATGGCTCAAAACTCTCAAGAACACACTAGGGTTTCGATTATGGACAAGGGAAGGTGGAGGCTGTTTAAACATGACCAAATGAGGCTATCGTAAGGCTTAAATATGGTGCAATACCCTATAAATTAGAGGTTTCATAATTCACACGTACATCATATGTACTCCACGTACGCCTAACTTACGTGGACTGGATGTGCGATCAAAACTAGGCTAGTACGCTAAGCGTACCACTTAGTACGCCCCACGTACTAGCTTAAGGACCAACTTTGTAAACTTTTAGATAAAGAGGTTAAATATGAAACTTACCAAATTCAAGTGTTACATGCTCCTTCCATTTTGGAGCATCCTTCAATTTTAGTCACAATTTGAGATATGAAAAAGGTTTGTGGGTTGCCATTGTTTTTTCATATTGATCCAAGGCCGCCTTAAACACATCGAAATTGCTTGACCCACTTTTGTGTAGGTTGTAAATTGTACCGAATTCGATACATTTTAGCCTCAAATCGCGCCACTTCGAGCTAATTTGGTCAGGATTTTGACTTCCACTTCCTATTAAATCATAGAACATGTTTCACACTTTTTCCCAAAAACAGTTATAGGTTTGATTATCTCTAATTGGGTTTTAGGAAGCCGATACTCAAGTCCGTGATAACTTCTCTTCTTGTCCATTGCATCCTATCAGTTGCATTGGTTCAAACAAGGTTTTTTTTTCTTCATTTTTTTGGTTGGGTTAGTGGTGAAGGTTGTGTTTCCGCTACAAAATCCGACGAATGAGGGGGTTGTGAAAGTTGTTGGTATACGAAACCAGATTGAAATTGTTGTTGAAAAAGTTGAGTTTGTCGGATGGTCTAAGTGGATGTCATTATTTGTGGTTGCAAATATTCATTTTTAATCTTCAATTATCTTTGAATTGATTATATCTTGTGTATGAGTGTATTATTTTTGTTGTAAAATTCAAATGATTTTTATTCATAGGACCATCTCCAATTCTTAATATCATTTTTAACACGAAAGTTATAAATACAATTTAAAAGATAGTATAAATACAGCTTAAAAATAATATAAACTTATAAATACAGTTTAAAAATAATATAAACACTAAATCATTTCCAATCTATTACCTTATTTTTAACACCAAAAAAAAAAAAAATCTATGTATATTCCTTTTTATCAAAGTTCTATGATTTACAAAAAAACATTTATATTATTATTAGAGTAAATTACACGAATCGTCCCTCGTGCAGGTGTCAAAATGCACGTTTAGTCCCTATTTTCAAAAATTAACTCGGACCATCCCTTATTTGGTTTAAACTTGCACGCTTCATCCCTACTTAGTTTAAATATACATAATTAATCCTTTACCATACATAAAAAGACTATATTACCCTTACTAGTTCATTTTGAATTTATAAAAAAAGGGAAAATAAATTCTAACCCTTACTTTCATATTTATTTATAACTTTTAAACAATTAAAGATATAAACTCTACCTAACCCCACCTATTTACCAGGAACTCGTAGAACTACCCTAACTCCTCTCTTCTCGTTTCTCCACCTTCTCACCTCTCCCTTGATGCCAAAATATGGCCACCGAAAGTCTTTGCCTCCAATCCACCACCATCCTCCCCGCAAGCCATTGACTTCTTCTACAGGTTTCAGGCGAGGGTTTCTATCTCATAATGATGGTTATTTGCGCTGCTGAACTTCGCCATTACCACATTTGAACCTGATGTCGATGGCTACTCCTTCTGGCGAACCTTCGCTCTTCATCCATCACCGTCTCCAGCCCACTCTCTCACATTCTCACTCACAAATCTGCTCAATTTATACATAATCGTTGCTCGATTTGTGGTTCGATTTTTAGATTTATGGTTTTTCAGGTTTCAAGTTTCTTCTTTTCAGATTTGATTTGGTTTAGTGTTGATTATAGGCAGTTTTCGGAATTAGAGCATGGTTGTTTTCATGGAGGGCAGAAGGAAAAAGGGAAAAGGAATGGGGAAAGGTGGGTAGGGTGTGATGAGTGAGGGTTTGATGGCGTCGTCGGAGGTGTGTTAGAGTGCCTGGAGTTGTATTGGTGTCATCGGAGTATTGGGGTCGGCCGATGTGGGTGGTAACGGTAGGTCAGAGATGTACTGAAGAAGAAAGAGGAGGGGGGGGGGGGATGGTAAAGACGAGCTATTGCTTATTGCTTAGGGTTTGGGCCCATTTATTTTTTATAAAGAAATAATAATTAATTTTCATAATACATAAATCAATAATTAACAAATAAATAGAAAATAAATCAAAAAAAGAAATAATTAAGGGTAAAATGGTCATTTTATGTCCAAAGGGATGACGCGTGTAAATTTTAAATTAATGAGGGACGGTCCGAGTTAATTTTTGAAAATAAGGACTAAACGTGCATTTTAACAATTGCACTAGGGACGATTCGTGTAATTTACCCTTATTATTATTACCACTCACTCTCACACCGAAATCCATTAAAAACGTTATTTATACCCATCACTTTACATTAAATGTTCTACATAGGCCCCTTGTTTCTATGATTTTAATTTTAAAATCTTATTCATTTCAGTCTATTAACTTTATTTATTTATAATCTGATACTAAATTACAATATCTCAATATTATTTATACTGGTACCAAGGTTTATTATTATCGTTTTTATTTTTCTGTAAAGAAAATACACAAGGATATTTAATGATTGAATATAAAATTAATGGATTCATTGAGCATATTTGGTCTTGGGAGTGGAGAGATCGTGATGTTTTTTTGGCTGCTTTGGCCCATAACTATATATATTTTTTAACCATAACAAAAGTATCCGTTACAAAAGTAAGTCATTAAAATATAGCTTTTAACAAATTACATCATTAAAAGCATCTCATCAATGCCTTTGAAATCGTCACTACTGAATTTCGTCTGTCTTATAATTTAAAAAATATAGGTTAAGTAAATATATAAGTTAAGTGGAGACCATTTATAAACATTTAAAAAGTTTAGACATGATGAAAATGGATTTATATATTATATAAAGTCTTATGTTTTGATAACATGATCCGAAGCCATAATTGCTTTGACATCCTCCTTAATAAATCAAGGTTTTTTTTACCACATGTCTTATTCTTCTTATTTGGATACATGTTATTTTCTAAAATTTTTGAATTTTTTATTTTTCACTTGTCATTTTATTGTATTTTTCATTTATGAAATTAAAATTTCACATTTAATATGTAAGGTATTTATTAGAAATGATTTATATATGTAATGTATTCAATGTATTAAAGTCTCATTAATTTTAATAATTTAATTTTTTTCTCATTTTTCTAATAAATTCAAATTTCTCAAATTGTTAACATTTCATATTTAATTTTTTTAACATAAACTCATATAATACAGAGATCTCACACCTAGTTTGAAAATAATTTGGCTTTAGGTTTATTACATATCGTAATTGTTCTAACCGGAATTAGAAAGATAATTTCAAGTTTTTAGAGTCTATAATCCATAAGGAAATCTGGAAATTGTGTTGAGGATGATGTGTAAAAACGGGATGATTAAAGTAGAGGATACTCAAAGGAGTCTTCATTCGTGCCCTATTTTTATATGGTGACAATTATGCCAAATATGTTGCATGGATCATGATCACAATTAAGAAGTCACATGAAAAGATGGAAGTTGTACAAATGGAGATGATGTAGTAAACATGTGGTTGAACATTGTTGTACATGACAATTGACAAAGATGTAACAATCAACATTCAATATTATTGTGTTGGGAGTGATGCCGATTACCAAAAACCTAGGGAAGGAATATTGCATTTTTTTTTTTTTTTTCATAATCTAATTACCTTATGTTTTTAGACGTTAGAATATTTTTCGTACATTTCTTATGTTTTCCCCTTACTTTTTATCCTAATCTCTAGTCTCTACCTTGCTCCATTTTCATGAGATTTGGATTATTGTTATTGTTGTTGTTTTAGTTAAAAGCTGTAATATAAATAATGCCTAGGGACCAAAAAAAAAAAAAACGTTAGAATGAAAACCGATACATTATAGACACAAATATAATATTTTGTTGAATCTAAAAGATTTAAATATACATGATCCAAAACTTTCGACTAAAAATATTACATAGAAGCTATATCCTTAATTTCATGCTCATGTTCATGTTCATGTTCATGGTGTTGGCTTCTTTTCCCCACGGAAGGATGATAACAACGAGAAGTGTCTTGAAGCTGTCAATTGTAATGCCATGCCATGGGATCACATATTCAATACACCAACAAATATTATTTAATATTTGTTTACCCCCTCCCTCTTCCACTACTATTATATTCAGCTTAATGCAAGAAATAGCAACCTACTTTCTCTATTTTTCAAAGTACATCGTTGAAATAGAAAAAAAAACATAAAAAATAAAAATAAAATAAACAAAGAAATGAAAGTATGTTGCTATTTCTTGCAAGATGTATTATTATTATTATAATACTCAAAAGTCAACACTAGAAAAACCATATTACTATTTTTGAAAGAATAGTTGACTAAAAGAACACTCACACTTTTGACCATGAGTGGGAGCTCGATCTTCAGCAATTAAGGTCTTCAATGTATGAACTACACAACATCAACATCAGATGAAAGTAAAGTTGTGTCTTTTTGCATTCAGCCCTAATAATAATATACAAATTATGGGGTATCAGTTATCACTAACCTCCACCTGAGGAAGCAACATCATTCCCACTTGCAGTATCTGAAGGGGTATGGTTTTTTTTCCCAAGTTTCAAAAGTCGTCTGAATCCTTTCACTTCTTTAACTTGAGGCTTTTCAAGGACTTCAGGGATCTTTTCCAATTTCAAGTTGTTAAAATCAGATATATATGCTTTTTCAGTTCCCCCACCCACAAAATTTGTCTGAGGCTGAGGTGCTTTTGCGTATTCTGAGTTTCTAGTTGATGGATCTTCAAAAGATGACACACGTGCAACAGGTGCTTGGTAGCTTTTTTCCCCTGAACTTTCCACCATTTCTGAATTTTTCCTCACCTAAAAACCAGGATAATATAACTAAAAAGTAAAAACACAACTTAAAATCTAAAATTCTAAATGCATTTAACCCAAAACAATTTTCTTACCTCACAAGAACTCGGGTGGATTGAAATGGTCTCCTTATCAACAACTTCCACCTTTTGAATGCCTACACAATCTTCCTCAAACTTCTTACTTACCCTACAAGTTACTGAAGAAGGCTGCTTATGTTCAAGCATTACAACACTCTTATCAATCATAGGATTCTCATCGATCAACAATTTTTCATTCAAATTCACTTTAGCAACTCCGGAAACTTTGTCTTTCTCCTCCTTCATTTTCGAAAACTTTTCACTTAAATTCGAAGACACTTTAGATGTTTTGATCTTCAGCTCTGGTAAACTCGCAGCCTTACTTTGATCAAGGCTCATGATAGCAGAAATCTTTTTAATTTCAGGCCCATTTGATAATTTTGTTTTAGAAACAATTTCTGCACTCCGTGTTTTCAATAAAGTAGTAGTTGTAGGATGAGTGCTGTTGTTGTTGATCTTTTTTGGCTCTGATAGTCTTCTAATACGTGTAATGGAAGCTTTTGAATCAGGAGTAACAATGGAGTTGACTTCTTTCTTTGTGTCAGACATTGATGACATGGATTTCGTCATCCTGTTGCTGCTACTCCCTTCAGTTAATTTGCTGTTTGTTGTGGGTTTCTTTGAATTTGTGGATCCTATGGATCTTATTTTGGATCTTTGTAGAGGAGATGACGATCCGGGTTCTGAATCTGTGAACTTTGATGATTTGTGGGACATAGGGGAAAGTTTTGATGGTAATGATTTTCTAGTGGAAATGGAATTGGAATTGGAATTGGAATGGGAATGGGAATTGGAATTGGAATTGGCTCTTGCAGCAATTCTCTTTTGCCTTTCTATCTTTAGACCTTCAAGTCTTTTAAGTTCTGCATCTTGCTGAAAAAGGAAGCTAGATTTAAGCATATGGTGATTGATTTTATACAAAATGACATAAGAATTTAGCACATCATCTTTAAGATAATCAACAACAACAATACCTGTTCTTTCTTCATTTTCTGGAGATCAGCTTTGAAAGATCTTAGTTTTTCAGCACGTGCTTTTGCATCCTCTAAAGTACTATTCACCTTTGATGATTTACCCTTCCTTATGGGTCCCACAAGCTTCTTATCCCCATTAACTTTTGACCTTTGGATCTTTTCTGCACTTTTGGATCCTTTCTTGACATCAATCAAACTCTCTTTTCTCCTTTTCTCATCTTCAGCTAATTGCATTTCGTAGTCTAGAGCAGGATCATACCCTATTGACCTATCTTCAACACCTCGTTCAGGCATCAAGCTTAAGTCATGTGGCTCATAGTTGACTTTGTTTTCTGGATTTTGACTTCTTGATGAGAGGTCATAATCCATGTTGATGGTTGTAATTCTATTGTCATTTACACCAGAAGATGATCGGATGGAAACCATTAATGCTTCATCTGTATTCCCATGTAAGTCAATTCCATTCCGATCCTCAAACCTGGAATCAGCCAATGGATCTAACGAATTCCTTACATTTGCTTGTGCTCTTCCACCTACCATGAATTCATCATCATTTCCATTCCTGTAAACAATCTTTCTTCCATTTCTTTCATATGATTGCATATCGATTTTGTCCCCTTGGATATTGTCATCATGTCCTCTATGAACTAATGGATCATCACCAGACATGGTTTTTTGTTGTCTTTTTTGGGGATTCTGATTCCGATTCCTTTCCATGGAAAACATATCTTCATTGGATTCCTTTCCATCTTCTGCAGCTCCTTTGAGTATAAAACTTTGAAATGCATCCCAATGGCCATTATCAGATTCGGTTTCTTTTTTACCTTTTCTCTTTGGGGATCTTAAGGTTTTTTTATTTGCAATTGCATCACTCACGGGATCAGTGTCAGAAGCTGACTCATCATCTTCTGAGGAATCTTGTCTTTTTGAGTTGATGAAGTTAATATTACGAATAACCACCTTCCCTGATTTCATTTTTCCTGTATTTTTATGTTGTTCTGAACTTTCTTCAGAATCAAGGTTATCCATGGATTGCCTCTTTTGTTCAATTCTATAGGGATCCTCCATTGGTGGGTAGGGTGGAGGGTAAAATGGACCATTTCCTGGATAATGTTGATAGTAAGGCATTCCTTGCATATGATATGCTTGATAACCAGGGGAAGAATGCATTGCCCATGGAGGAAAAGCTGGATGGGGAAATTGTCCTGTATGATATTGTTGTTGACCAGCTGGATTTGGTCAACCATATGACAAAAAAGTATACAATATTATTATTATATTAAACCTAAGTATTAACATCAAAATGATAAAGAATTAAAGATCAATTGGTATATAAATCCTTACCTGCATTTGGATCACTGGATGTTTTTTCTTTAGTTTCTGGAGTTGTAGCCTCACTTCTGAGTTCATTATTATGACTTGAAAGCACAATTCCAGATGCATTCATGGCAGAATAATCTGATCTGGTGGAAATTGCATCTTCTGGTTCTATTTCAACCCATTGTCCTGAATCATGTTTCTGCTTCCATAAATCCATGTACCTCAAACAAGCACTCCTATTGTATATGAACCAAAAAAAAAGTCAAAAGAATTTGCCAGGTTGTCGATTTAAAAAAAAAAGATGTTAAAAATGTAATATGCTTACATTAGACGTGATGCACCGAAACATTCAGCAAAAGATAACAAATTTGCCACATGGTCAATTTCAAATCCAGCAGCTACAGCACGTGCAAAAGCCATGCCTTGTTCTTTCTTCAGCACTGTTTTGCGTGTCTCAAGAACATTTAAGAGCTGGACTCTGAATGTTATACATGTGAATAAGAATTTAGTAGTGTTACATACAATCCTGTTTTTATTTATAAATTGGGAAGTATTCGGTTTTCACACTGAATCAATTCAAGAAAGGAAGCACCAATACTTTGAATTTCCCTCCTTGCCACTGGAACTGCTTGTCTCCTGAACACCAGGCTGCCAAAAGGGGAAAAAAGAAAAAAGGGAATTAATAAAAAAAATGATAAAATACATGAGAAAATGAGTACATTGGTGACTTGTTTGTTACCTTGTAAAGGACAATTGCCTTATCCTCATCAGTATCATGTCCAGGTTTGTTACCTTCATTGACTGACATTGCTAGAGGCTTTACATGTTGGTCTTCTATCTGCAATGATGAAAGCTTGAATTAAGAACAAATAATTCAGAAATATGATATAGTATTATACTTATAGTTAAATGTATATATGATCATAAACTCATAATGCTCACCATAATATCATTGTTTCCTTGAATGGCAATTGCTTCTTCTATCTGTAGGATTTCAGATTCTATAGTGTAGACACGTTCAAGAATCTCCGGGGTGCTCACAAAGCGAACAAAACTATAATCAACAAAGATATTAGGTTATCTTTTTCTTTTTCTTCAATCTTCTCTACCAGTTTTAATAGATTTTTACCAAAATGACTAATGCAAGAAACATTAAAGAACCAAGAATAATACAGACCTTTCAACTGTACACTTTGTAAACCATGTTGCATTACTGCCAGATTCTGGTTGAAGCAAAACTGAATAACCACCTTCTGCAATCTGATCCTGAGCTGTCTTTAGGTGCGCAATAAAAGGGTTCAGCAAACCAGAAGCGATCTTCTCTTTCTTATCATTTGCGATGATGTATAGATCACACCTGGTAATTTTGCAGGAGTAAGTAACGTTTAAATTCAAATTTCAATGCGAGCATTTCTCAATCCTTTTGATACTCATGCTAAACTATCCTTCTATTGCATTGATTGGATGATGGTATCTGCTTATTTGTTTTCTAGGTTTTAAATGCTTCAACAGTGACGAAATAAATAACAATGATGAATCGAGCATACATCATACAAATTTGTCCACATTCAGAGTAGGTGAAATGCCTGTGGAATAAGTTCTAACAGAAGTAACACTCGAACATCACGGAATTAAATGTTAATATATATATGAAGTACAGCCACAGGGTAAAGTGCAGTTCGGAGCTTAACAGATACAATAACCAGAAAACGCGTACAAACTTACCTTGTTCTTGTTGGCGTGAGTTGAAATACGGCGGAGTCCAAACGAGTCTTCGACTTCATTTTTCCTGAAAATCCGATCAGATAGAGAGAAAAGCTGTAGACATCGACGTTTTCTGGACCTTGTAATTGTCAATATATTGAGACATTCAAATCAGCATTTGGACAAATCTGATAAGAAAAAGAAGCAGAAAGTCGAATTGAAGTTTGATGAGCGAGCTACTGTTGCAGAGCTAAAGCAGAAAACTTAAAAGATCCTTTAATGGCTGCTACATTGAGAGAGAGAGAGAGAGAGAGAGAGAGAGAGAGACCAGAGAGCATCCAAAGTGACTTTTTTTCTCTCTCGACTGCTTCCTGCAAAACGTTATACCTACACCCCCTATATGTTGGCGTATTCTCCGGTAATAACCCTCAATATATGAGATTTTACTGAATATTTTTGCAAAAAATATAAATTACCAGAAAAGTTAAAAGACTAATATCAAGATATTGTATTTTTGATTTGGCCATTCTGGTTGTTTTTTTTTTTTTCAAAAAACTTGTTAAATGTGAGGATTTTTCAACAAAAAGTTGAAGATTTTTCAGAAAATTTTAAAAATTGAAGGTTTTATGGGGAAACAATTGAGATTTTTTTGAGAAAAATAAAAAATATAATGTCTTTTAATAAAAAAATGAAAAAACACAATACATTTTCTATTATATTAACAGAAGAGTTAATAATAATAATATACGTCAACTTATTACATCATAAAAAAAATGAACGTTTAAATTAGAAAATTTTCAAATCTAATTTAAAATTTTAAACCAAAATGATTTCTAGAAAAATTGACTATAATGGATGGGGAACTTTTATGACATTTGACTAAAAGTGAAGGGGGCAACGGTGGTGAACAAACAAAGAAAAGGGAGCAGGATATAAAATTACAGAAGCCGACACGTGGTTGACATTATGTGCCAAACTTTTTTATGGGAAGTTGTGATATCAGAAGGGTGTTGGGTTTTACTGTATAAATCCTTTAACAAAAAGTTGATAATAAGAATCTCTAATTTTACAATACGATTTTATGTTATTTTTTCTAATGCGACAAAAAACTATACGGCTATGTGCATTAGTAATCCGTAGTGTACGTATATAACAAAAATAAGTTAGACCATAATGGGCAATTACATGATCACTACAAGTTTATAATTATTGGGAATTATAGTTATAAAAATAATTAAAATTTTATAGTAAAATCTATAATTATTAATTAATTATTTTAATAAATTATTAATTAAATATAATTTTGTAGGACTTTTAATATAGAAATATAATTAATTATCAGCAATTATAGCTGAAACTTATTCTATACGAATTTAAATTTCTTTTAAAAATCAGATTCAAATAAATAATTTACTAATTTATTATCAATATTAATATTTTTTAAAAAATAAAAAAAGACGAAAAAATATGAAGTTTTATTTTTTTATAGCATTTGAAAAGAAAATATATATTACGAAAAGCTGACAAGTAATATTAATAATTATCCTTTTATTAATATAGAAATATTAGTCTTGTGTTAACCATTTTCAATAAAGGATAAATTATATATTGTTTTCTTAATACAAAAAAAAATAATAATACCCCAAATTTCTGATTATGTTTTCTTCAAATAGAATTTAACATTATATAACTATAAAACTATTCGTTGTTAAAAATTAGAATATTTCGGATTGATAATAAATTAATAAAAATTAAAACGCTTGATTCATACAAGTGGATAAAAAAAATACTATTTTATAATAAAATGTCGGTTTGCTAATGAACATAATTTTTATGAAGCACCAACCTCACCCACCAGGTTGTGGCTACAAAGAGACTTGTTTTTAACAAATGTGATATTTTGAATAATTTATATAAATTTTAGTTATATTTAATAAGCATAATTAAGAGAATTATTAAAAATATGAAAAATACATTTGAATAAGTTGTTCTTTAAAAGAACAAATTGTGATTTTTTTTGGATATAATCTCAAATGTATTCAAATTATACAATTTGTCAAATTATTATGGGGAGGAATTTCCTCCCGTAAAAATACTTTCACAAATTAAATGAACTTCTTAAATTTATATTTTACGAAACAAAGTTTATATTTGAATATTGTTGTGATTTTTATAAGAAAATATAGCAAATAAAATCAGATAATGCTTAATTTATATAAAAAAAAAATGTGAAGTACATGACGGTCAGTCGGTTGGTGCTAAACTGCGCCGGGGCCGAATTTTGTGTGCTTGGGCCACAAAAAAACATGACAGCTGGGGTATTTGTCAAGACAAAATCTACCCAACGGTCAAATTGAATTCCTACATGCATCTCGGTCTCGGTCTCACAAAAAAACAATATTTTTCCTTTTCAAATATTGTTTTCTTTTTAATTATAAAAGTTGATTATAATCTTTAAAGAAAATACTACAAATACAAATATTTCAAATGTATACTCATGATTAATATTAAACGCGAATTCGATTAGATGAAATTTTTTTTTTTTTTTTCTTTAACGACAAACAATATTATTAAAATGAAAGACGGCTAAGCAAGAAGCCCGAACCATATTACAAAAGAACATTTGAGATGGGAGACATGCTCTAGTTAGCCCAATCTATTTTACAAATATTAGATTACGTTTGAAGTATTAGTTGAAAAACTAATTAATAGCTGAAAAATTAGTTGTTAAATAAAAATTAGTTTCTAGCTGAGAAGCTAGCTGATAAAAAATAATGTTTGGTAAAACTGACTGAAAAGTTAGCTGAAAAACATGAAATGACATAAAATAACATTAAAAGAATGTATTTTTATAATTAATTAAGGGATATATTTGAATTTAAAAAAAAAAAAATTCCTAAAAAATTAGTCTAAATAGCTTTTTATTAATTTTGTTAAAAGTAAGAGCACTAATGTCGTCAGCTAGCTTAAAAAAACTCGAAAAAACAAGCTAGCTGTGGCGCGCCAAATACAGCTTAGATATATTATTGATTCAGTTAAAAGTAAGAGCACTAATGTCGTCCACCATAATCATGATAGTTCGTCGTTCATTACAAAAAATAATGGCATTCCAAGTCTTCCAGAGAGTCCATAAGGTAGTGTAAACAAGAGAGAGCCTCAAAATTTTCATCTTTTTTACTTCCAGTAGTCGAGTTTATCATCTCCAACAACTCTAACCAATTCAAGGGTATATTCGTAAGTATGGAAGACTAATTGACCAACCAACTCCAAACTTGCGATGCAGTATGACATGAGAAAAAAACTGTTGGATTAGGTGTCTAAGCCTATAACTATAATTGGTATGTACTTGATCCAATAGTAGCATAGTCATTTTTGGTTGCCTTCACCTAGCAATTTGATAGGATGAATTAAGGAGAAATAGGTTAATTATAATTTATTCATATATTATATGAATAATATATTAATTGAGAAAATCATATTATTTAATTAGTATTGATCATAAATTACTTTGGAATTAATCTGGTGATTAACAGAGACTGATTAAATTACGAGGACTGATATTGCAACTATCTTATAGTTGCAAGTTGGGCTTATGGATCCCTAGGAAGGGGTGGACGAAATTTTATGTGTAGCCCACATAGATTTCATCCAAAGGGGGCCTTCTGGAAGGATCTGTTGGACTGCTTAAGGCTTAAGCAATCAGATTTGAGTTTTATCTGAAACCCTAGCAACTCAGCTATACAATGAACCCCTTGGCTCCTTGAAATTGCTGAATGCTCTTAAGAAAAGAACCCTAGACGATTTTAGAGCCTCACCCTCTCTCTCGTATTCTTCTAATTGCTACTTGGTGTTTGTGACTCGTTAGAAGTGCAACAATTGGGGTACTAAACTCTTGAAGGTCAAGATCTACAAGCTAGAAGGAAAAGATATTCATCTAACTTTGTTTTTAATTACAAATCTCGAAAATTATATACTAGATCAGGGTTCATGCTTTGGATAATAATTTGCATGTATAACTTGAGAAAAACCTAGTTCCAAAGCATTAGGGTTGCATGTACACCATACGAATGTAGTGCTCATAACCCATCAGTGGTATCATAGCTTAGGGTGTTTTCATGTTATATTTGATGCCATGGTTAATTGTTCAAAGCTAAAAGCAATCGAAATCTGGACTCTGCCAGATGAAATCGATGAGTCCAACATGGAACTCGACTAGTTGAGGCAACTCGACGAGTCCAAAGCCTGACTCGACGAGTTGACTTGTCTGTTGGCAGATTTTTCAGATTTTTGGCCTAAATTAGATAAGGATAATTACCATAAGTTGTTTTAACTAATTAAAATCGATTTTTATGATATGGTAATGGATATCTGATGCATTATGAGCACTACATCATTCCTATGGTGTATATGCAACCCTAATGCTTTGGATCTAGTTTTTTTCTCAAGTTATACATGCAATTATAATCATCCAAAGCATGAACCATATCTAGCATACAATTTTCGAGATTTATAACATAAAACAAAGTTAGATGAATACCTTTTCCTTGTAGCTTGTAGATCTTGACCTTCAAGAGCTTAGTGTCTCATTTGTTGCACCTCTAATGAGTCACAAACACAAGTACCAACTGGAAGAATATGAGAGAGGTTTGGAGGCTCTAAAATTCGGCTAGGGTTCACTATGAAACATAGGTGCCGATTTTGGGAGCCTTACGGTTCATTTTATAGCCGAGCTGCTAGGGTTTCATGTAAAACCCAAATTTGATTGCCTAAGCCTTAAACAGTCCGGTAGATCATTCCATCAGGCCTCCTTGGACGAAATCTATGTTGGCTACACATAGAATTTTGTCCACCCCTTCCTAGGGATCCATAAGCCCAACTTGCAACTATCATATAATTGCAATATCAGTCCCTGTAATTTAATCAGTCTCTTTTGATCACCAAATTAATTCCAAATTAATTTCTGATCAATACTAATTAAATAAAATGATTTCTCAATTAATATATTATTCTTATAATATATTAAAAAATCACAATTAAACTCTTTCTCCATAATTTATCCTATCAAATTGTTATGGTGAAGGCAACCTAAAAGGACCATGCTACCATCGGGTCAAGTACATCCCAATTATAGTTATGGGCTTGGACACCTAATCCAATAGTCTCCCACTTGGATAAGTCTAATAAGTATAATTGCCAATGCCACTTCAAAATCCTATTAGCAATCGTAGCTCTCAAAAGCCGTTGTCAAACTCTAACCTAGTCAATGACGCGTACTTTAGATAAGAGATCATA